CATATTTTCCTGGCAGATTGTCCAAGACAGTGGTTCAAGCTCTGACTGTGTAGTCTCTATTTCAAGACCTACTGAACCAGATCCCTGGGGAGGGGGTTGGCAATCTCTAGTTTTAGTTAGCTACCCAGGTGATTCCAGTGGTCATCAAATTACTTGGTGTCACTTAAACTGGCAGTGAATTAACTATAGATTGTATTAAATGTATTTTAAGTTTTTGGAAATGTATGATCTATGTTACTTCTTTTCATCTAAATTAGAGTTAGCCAGGATACCCCATTCTCCTCAAATTATGTAGAAGTGAGAAATTTTCAAATAAAATGTTTCTATCACATGTACATAAATTAATACATATGCAGTTACCCTTTACAAAAATTCAGTTCACTTTTTAATTATATGACTAATTTATGAACATATGCTCATGAGGAATTCAAAATTACAAAATGAAAGTCACTCTTGATTCTTTTCCTAACCCTTTTCTTTCCTCTCTGGTAAACAGGCCTATTGATTTGCCAAGTTCCCTTCTGAGCTTCTAAAATACATTTACGAATTTTGTATTTAGTTTTCTTTTTTCATATGAATACAGTATGAGTTGTTTTGAAACTTATTATTTTGTTTTAAAATTCTTTCCATATCAGTATATATGTATGTATATGTTTGTATATGAATGTGTATTCACATTGTGTAGTGCGCCATTACATGGATGTGCCACCATTTATTTAAGAATCTTCTTATTAATAAGTGAACATTAAGGTTATTTAAGAATCTTCTTCTTAATAAGTAAACATTAAGGTTGCTCTCACTTATTTTCCTTACTGTAAGCCACACTTCAATGGACATCGTTGCATATGCCCTCTTGTGCACAAGTGCCATTTGCTTTTGGTTAGGAAGCTCTTCCCATTTCTGCGTTCCTTTTCATTTTTAATTCACAAGCAATACCTCATAGCCTGCGTCAGTGTGCAGGTTTTCCTTTTCAGTGTGTGGCCAGTAAAGCACAGGTTAAAGTCAAGATGTTTGGATTCTAGACCTGGCTCTGCCATTGACTTGCTCTATGATCTTGGACCCTTTTCTCCTTTGTTTCATAAAGGTATTAAGTGGGATGACTTTTAGGTTTCTTACAGTTTTGACAGTCTCTTATTCTAATTAGGCTTATGGGTGTGACATCAATTTTTATGTTATATTCAGCTAGTAGCAAGAATCAGTTGATCTTGTTAAGTAAATCATAAAAGTGTACAATGCTGACGAATAAAGGGACCTTATGCTTTACTCTAAATGAGTCTTTGCCTTACTCCTAACTGATGTTTGAATGCCATTTTTGGATGAAAAAATAATAGTGTGGTAGTAGTACCTGTTTTCTCTTGGATAATTCTCAACAGTTTGTAGAAAACTGTTACACACGCCAGCTTATTTTAAAGTATTATCTCATTCTCACAAATCCTGAGTAATTAAAGGAATTGCTCAAGATCATCAAGATCATTCAACTAATAAGTTTCAGGGTCCAGACTTTAACTTCACATCTTTTGATTTCTAAGTTCACTGTTCTCTTAAAGAGAAAAAAGTATTTTCCTGATACTCAAAATGGTTATTCAGTATATACTACATTTCTTTTTTAAATATTTATAAAGTGCATAGTATTTATAAGGCGCTCTTTAAATGTTAGTCTCGCCATTCCCAACCTTTGTCACATGCCTCCTAGTTTATTTTATATAGAAGCTGGCACTTTGTTCAGTTTTAACAGTTCTAGACATCAAGATGACCAACACTTTTGAGTCAGCATCTCGTAAGCATTTAGGAAATGCATCACACAAGTAGTTGTGGTTTTCGTTATCCTTAAAATCACTTGACACAGACCATAAACATTTAGCTCTGGTGCATGAAAAATGGGTTAGAGGCCAAGCTTAGCTTGTCTGCAGGGTATCTGTTTCATCTTCATGATAGAACACAAGTGTGCCAGTGATGTTTCATGGAAATACTTAATATGAAGAATGGCTTTGTTTTTGTTGGGAATCTTTTAAAGAATACGCATCGAAGTGTGGATTTTTTTTATTTTCAAATACTTTCTTCCTAACCTACCAGTGCCGAACTAAAGTTACTACTTGCAGAATAGCTTCTCATAGAAAGAGAATATAGCACAATCCAATGTGACTTTTGAGGTTAAAATGTGCTACTTACAGCACTTTTTTGCTTAAAAATTTTGTTACTACCATAAAGCTGAAAGTATGTTTTCTTCATGGTGCAATCTTGCCTCACAGCAGCACTGACCTCCTGGGCTCAAGCAATCCTTCCTCCTCAGCCTCCTGAGTAGCTGGGACTACAGGTGCATGCCACCACGCCAGCTAATTTTTTTTTTATTATTTTTTTTTTATAGAGATAGGGTCTCACTATCAGGCCTAGGCTGGTCTTGAACTCCTGGGCTCAAGCAGTCCTCCTGCCTGGACTCCCAAAGTACTGACATTTGCAGGCGTGAGCTACCGCACCCACCTGAGACTGTCCCTTTGTAAGTTGTGGTATTAATTCTGCAGTTATATCTAGAATAGAATTCTCTAGACTGATGGGAAAGTTTTTGTATTTCAGTATTCTCATTTCCTTTACTCTACAAGCTCCCCTTCTCTTTCCAAAAATTATTAAAAGAGGGAAAAGTTGAGCAAAACAAAGAAATAGACGATTAGGAGCTTTTCCACTTTTTTTCTGTTTCTTAACTTTACCCCTTTCACGCTCCTTTTTTTCTATTACCTTTTTAAAAAATTTCCGTTGCCTCTATATCTACTCTATTATCTTGATTACTCCACTTGGTACCTCCCACTCTCCCTCCTTCTGAGAACTTTACAGTCTCATTAGTTGTCCTCTTGACCGATATATGTACACATACCGCAGTTCACTGGTCATCAGAGTACTATAGCCAAGGTTCTCAACTGCTGTTAGAGTTCTCAAGTGTGAAGTGCCAAGGGCAATTTATTACTAATTATGAGTACCCCAGTTTGTACATCCTTTGCTTTTTTAAAAAACAGATGTGAGCTTAGCCCTAAAATAATGTCACTGTCACTCACTTGCATACAGAAATGCTTTCTTGAGTGGGAGAGAAAGAATGACACTGCAGCTGATGGACTCTCTGGGGACCAAAGCTTACCTACACCACAGCCTGTGGGAGTGTGTGGTGGGACACGCAAATGTCATCTTTCCTTGGGCCTATTCCCTTCAGAAAAAAAAGGCTAAAAACCTAATCCAAGAAGAGGAAAATGTTCCCACTGAAGATTATTGTTGCTTATTTGGGTTTGTTTTTATTAAAAGGTGAATGTTGGGAAAAGATAGTTTCTCTCTCCGAGGTTAGATTTGTTTGTTTTTACTAGTTATTTATCAACACAAGACTGAAGTTAGGGTGAAAGTCATCCGCAGGTTTTATTAGGTAGATATTAAAAATAGCAAATCCAAAGGATTTTACAAATGGAGGAAGACTGCTTTTGATCTATGAAAGTATGTGGTAGACTCCCTTGCTAGCCTCCTTTCACAGATGTTTCTGGTAAGAGACTGCAAAAGCAGAATTAAAGAAGGCAACACTGTAAATCAAACAGGTTTCATGTTTTACCTGTAGTGTGGTTTCGGTGTTTCCATCATCTGTTTGTCCTGTCCATTAGTATAGAAACTTCAGAGGGATCTAATGTTTTCCCAGGAGGTTTCTTTGTGGTAACCTCAATTTTTCTTTTCCAACTGATGTTGACAATCTCTACTTACTGTCTCAAATTTAACATAAAATGAAATCTTTACTCAAGCAGAAAGACTATGATGATCTTTAGTTGTTTTTCTCTAGGGAATAAATTAGTCATAGATACATGAATTTCTATTTAGTTAAAAGAAAAAGTTAGTGGCAGAGAGAGGGTTTACATTTGTTACAACCCAAGTGTCTATAGCAAAATACCATTTATTTGCTCAGTACATGTTCCAGACTTATGGCTATGAGGATAATTTTAGTTCTAAAGATAGCAAAATCTCGTAATTTATCTTGGAAATTCAAGATGTACTTTTAAGGATGCATAAGTGAAACACTGGGAGTGAAAAATTAAGATTTTTGTAGACAAGTGATTTGCTTCCTTGTTCAGTGCCTTACTCTCTGGAAAAATACATTTGCTTTCATAGCTCATTAATAGTTTCATCACTGATGTTCAGATAGCATATTCTTTTTATTTATTTATTTTTTGAGACAGAGTTTCACTCTTATTGCCAAGGCTGGAGTGCAATGGTGCGATCTCAGCTCACCGCAACCTCCATCTCCCAGGTTCAACTGATTCTTCTGCCTCAGCCTCCCGAGTAGCTGGGATTACATGCGTGTACCACCACGCCTGGCTAATTTTGTATTTTTAGTAGAGACGGGATTTCTCTATGTTGGTCAGGCTGATCTTGAACTCCCAACCTCAGGTGATCCACCCACCCTGGCCGCCCAAAGTGCTGGGATTACAGGCGTGAGCCACCGTGCCCAGTCAGCATATTATTTTAAAATCAATGTATAAGCCAGGCACAGTGGCTCACGCCTGTAATCCCAGCACTTTGGGAGCCTGGGCAAGAGGGTCACTTGAGCCCAGGAGTTTAAGACCAGCCTAGCCAGCATAGGGAGACCCCACATCTACAAATAAAAAATCTAAAACATTAACTGGGTGTGGTGGCGCACACCTGTGGTCCCAACTACTCAGGAGGTTGAGGTGGGAGGATTACTTGAGCCCAGGAAATGGAGACTGTAGTGAGCTGGCCCACTGCACTCCAGCCTGGGTGACAGAGCAAGACCTTGTCTCAAAAGAAAAGAATTTAAATTAAAAATTTTTTAAATAAAATCAACATATAGTTATAGTGATGGTCGCATAACTCATGAAAGTACTAAAAACCATGGAATTGTACACTTTAATTGGGTGAATTATATGGTATATGAATTATATCCCTATAAAACTCATATTGAAAAATCAATATGTAATTGTATTTGAAAATACAGGTTTTGGGGGGTTTTTGGTCTTTTGTAGATTCACCAGAAAACTAAGCGTGCTTCGTGGCTTCTTCAGATGTGAACGTGTTCACTGAAAGCCCAGTCTGTGTAAAGCTGCTGAGCCCTCACCAGCTCACTGGAGTGGCCCTGCGCTCCGTTCCTCTCTGCACACTTGGATGGCCCTGGCCAGCTGAGTGCTGCAGGTCAGGAGGCTGCGCTCTCCTACAGCCACACACTTCTGCTCCCGGCATTTGACAAGTGTGCTTACCAAACCCATGCATGCCAGTTGGCTTGTTTTGGTAATTATGTCATCTGATTAAATTTTTTAGTTCACTTATATATAGATGCTAAAAGAAAAAGTTGTTTTCATGAAAAGAAAATTGTAGCCTTAGGAAAAAAAGGTTAATTGCTACAAAAAATGTATACTGTTGAATTAGGCACGGGAGAAAAAATTGTAAAAGATTTGGGAAAAAATCATCAAAATTTAGATGTGTATTGTAGTCAGTATACCCAGGATACTCACAAGTATCCTAAGTCCTCAAAAACTCAGTCATAGACAATGTAGCAGTTCTATGGTTTATGTAAGAATAGATTGACATTTATGTTTAAGTTACTATTAGATATTTAAGGAATGTGTGTAGAACTTCAAAAAATGTTTCTCTTTAATTAACCTTTCTGAATAACCAACAAACTAATGATTCCTGCAGCATTGAACAGAGAGCCTATACTATAGGATACAGAGGCACAAAGAGAAACTTACAAAGTTTAGTAAAATGTTTAAAGAGTTTAGGATTGACAGATAGGAATGGGCTGATGTAACAAAGTGTGTGTGTGTGTGTGTGTGTGTCTAAGAGAAAAAAAGAAACAAAATAAAATTTACCTATGTTAATATTTATGTCCCTAGCTTCTTGCTTTTCTAATTCGTTGTCTACTGATTTCGAAGCTGTTGAGTGTGGGAAAAGTAATGAAATATCCCCATTCATTAATCCAACACACACTGATCTGACAGCCACTAAGGAGGTCCATACATTATACTAGTTATGGAGATATGAATACAAATAAGATATGGTTCCTTTTTATGTATCTAATGTCTTTTTTTAGATTTTTAAAAATGCATTATCTTTATGTATATAAAAAGAATGCATTTTTGGTGTCCTTTATAATGCTGTAAATATTCAGTCTCATCTTTTTTCTTAAAGTAACAAGTTCTCGGCCAGGCATAGTGGCTCAGGCCTGCAATCCCAGCACTTTGGGAGGCCCAGGCAGGTGGATCACCTGAGGCCAGGAGTTCGAGGCCAGCCTGGCCAACATGGTGAAACACCAGCTCTACTAAAAATGCAAAAATTAGCCGGGCATGGTGGCATGCGCCTGTAGTCTCAACTACCTAGGTGATTGAGGCAGGAGGATCACTGGAACCCGAGAGGAGATTGGAACCCGCAGAGAAGACTGGAACCCGCAGAGATTGCACCACTGCACTCCAGCCTGGGCGACAGAGCAAGACTCTGTCTCAAAAACAAAACAAAACAAAACAAAAAAACGAGTTATCTTATGCTGTTCTTAGTGGAAACTCAGACTTTAAGTTCCACATCTGCCAAAAGAAAAGACAATTATTTTCTGTATAAGAGATTAATACTTTCTCTTTTCCCTATGGGCTTTTCTTCCTTGGTTTTACAGACAAATACTCACAGTACAGAGAACAGCAAATTAGGCATCAAGAGACTTGAGTTCTCACTACAGCTCCATTATTCAGACGCTGAGAGACCAAAGGCAAACTGAGGCCCATCTCTGAAAATGAGGCTACAGTGGAATTGGAGTATATATTCCCTAAAATTATTTTCAGTGCTTGCAACTTCTGAGATTGTTCCATCTCCTTGGTTTTAATATTTTAATGGGTGTGGAATCCATAATGAGGGCATGTAAATGAAGCTTGAAATTTAGAACACATGCCCCTTTTGTTCAACAGTTTAATACAAAGTGCGTTCTAGAATGTTAGCTCTGTGTAGTTGGGAACCCTGTTTGTCTTGTTCATGGATATACTAGGAATTAGATAAATGTTTCTTTGTAAGAGTGCATACATGTATCTGAGTGAGAAACGTAAACAGAGAGAGAAAATAGGAAAGAGAACTTTAGATCTTCAAGAAATTCCAAGGTAGGGTTCCAACTACTGGAAGAGTAATCGCTGAAAATAGAAAGTTTGGAGGACAGGTTTTTACATTTTGTTTTGTTCCCTCCAAGTATGGTACAGTCTGGTGAAAGATTTCACTTTCAGAAAGAGTATGTGGCTAGGCAATTCAATTATTCAGTCAGCAAATATTTATATATCCTCAATAAATTAGTGTAGTGGTTCTTAAACTTTGGGTCACACAACCCCTTTCAGTTTCAAAAATTGTTGAGAATCTTCAAAGAGCTTTTGTTTATGTCTTATAGCTGTATGTACCATATCGGAATTGGAACTGACAAATATTAAATTATGAAACTCATTAAAATTAATAAGCCCATTACATGTTAACATAAATAACACTTTTTGTGAATAATAATTACGTTTTTCAAAACTAAGAAGTTTAGCAAGGTAAGTATCATTGTTTTACATTTTTGCAAATCTCTTTGACACGTGGCTTACTAGAAGATAGCAGGATTCTCATATTTGTTCTGTAATCTATGGCAATATGCCATTTGGTTGAAATATGTGAAGTATATGAAGAAAATCTGACTTTACACAGATCTATAGTTGGGAAAGGGAGGTCTCACAAACCCCGTGAAAGGGTCTCAGGAACTCCCATGTGTCTTTAGACCATGATGTGATAACCAGTGTACTTTTGTTTGTTCAACAAATTATTAAATGCTTTCCAGTAAATAGGAAAAAAAAAATCTGATAGGAATACAGAGTTTGGAGGTTGAGACTGAGTTTGGAGTTTCTTTAGCAAGCTCATCCTATATCTGGGAGGCAAGGATAAGTGGGAATAATAAAACAGGGTATGGGAAAGAGCTGATTGGAAACACAAGCCCATATCTGTTGAAGTGGATTGCGAAGTTAGATATTAAGAAATTGAAAAATGGAGAAGCAACTGGTATCTTGAAGAGGGAATAGAATACCTAACATTCTATTTTTTTAAGTGTTAGGATCTTTGCTATGTAAGGAAGCAGCTTAGATTGGAGGCTTAGGGATGTGGATTCCTGTTATGAGAGAGAAGACTGAATCTGGTAGCTGTAGATCTCAGAGAAGAATATTATACAGTGTGACTATGATTCCATCAGGAGACAGTAATACGGAGTCTGGGAAGGTTCTGCCTCCTGAGTAGCCACTTGAGCTGTCTCTACTGGTATGTAAAGTAGCCAACATTCATCGTTTAAAATCTCTCAAATAGATTGCCTCTTTTTTTTTAATGCTTCCAGGATTCTTTGTAATAGAGATAACAAGTAAAATGTTCAATACATATGTAAAGCCTTTGTTTATGTTATGATGCTTTGTTTTTGATCATTTTTCCTTTTTTTTTTTTTTTTCCAGACCATCCAGACCTTTCAAGTTGCCAAAAAGGTAAAGTAATCTGGGTCATCTTATTAAATAATAAACTTACCTGCATACTTTTTCCAGTCTAGTATTTTCTCCATATTTTGCTGTTCTTTTCACTTTCCTCATATTTTTATGAAAGAAAAAGAAATTCCCATGAGTTGGCTGCTTGAGGAATTCCATATCTCCAAAAGTGGTTTTAATCTTAAGGTAGATTTCTAACTGTATTAAATTCTATTTGTGTCTAGGGCTAGGTGCAGTGGCTCATGCTTGTAATCCCAGCACTTTGGGAAGCCAAGGTGGGTGGATCACCTGAGGTCAGGAGTTTGAAACCATCCTGACCAACATGGCAAAACCCCATCTCTACCAGAAACACAAAAATTAGCCAAGCATGGTGGCACGTGCCTTTAGTTCCAGCTACTCAGGAGGCTGAGGCAGGAGAATCGCTTGAACCTGGGAGGTGGCAGTTGCAGTGAGCCAAGATTGTGCCACTGTACTGCAGCCTGGGGGACAGAGTGAGACTCTGTCTCAAAAAAAAAAAAATTATATTTGTGCATAAACATTTATATTTGTTTATTTTGCATTCCTTCCTGCAATGGATTGGCTTCCCAGTGGCTTACTTAGTGAGGAAAGAGATACTGTTCTGCCAACTACCAGGACTTGAATTCATGGCAATTTATTTCAGAGGGGTTGTCTTTCTTTTTAAAAATCTTGTTACCAATGGAAGTATTCCTTTATGTGGAAATGTTTAAGGCTTATCTTTCAACAGAGAAAATTTTAACAAGATAAGAGTTCCTTTAAAAAGCATTTTCTCATCAGATGTTCTTACACATTGTAATTTCAGATACAATGTCATTACACTTAAGAAATTCTAAGCGATCTTTGAAATTCAGTTGCCAAAGAAGCTCAGATGCTGATAACACTGATGCCTGCCTCAAGGGAGTTATCCTCTCTTTGAAGTGAAATTACTACATAAATATTAAGTAGTAAACTATCCTTCTATTTTTAAAAAATATATTTTTTAAATTGTGGTAAAATATACATAATAGGCCAGGCGCAGTGGCTCACGCCTATAATCCCAGCACTTTGGGAGGCTGAGGCAGGTGGATCACTTGAGGTCAGGAGTTTAAGACCAGCCAAGGCAACATGGGGACACCTGTGTCTACAAAATATTACAAAAAGTTAGCCAAGCATGATGGTTTGCACCTGTTGTCCCAGCTACTCAGAAGGCTGTGGTCAGAGGATCTCTTGAGCCTAGGAAGCAGAGTTTTTACTTAGCTGAAATACACCACTGCACTCAAGCCTGGGTGACAGAGCCAGAGCCTGTCTCGAAAAAAAATATATATATATACACACACACACACACACACACATATATATATATAGAGAGAGCATGCATTCATATATGTGTTATATATAACATAGGTTTATGTGTTATATATAACAGGTTTATATGATAGTTAAAACATTGACATACTTTAAATGTTATAACATGTTTATATGTTATATGTGTTGTATATATAACATGTTTATATTTGTTGTATATATAACATATATGTTGCCTTTTAACCATTTTTAAGAGTACAGTTCTTTGGCATTATGTACATTCATATTGTTGTATAACCATCACCACCATCCATTTCCAGAACTTTTTTTCTCTTGTAAAACTGAAATTCTATATCCATTACACATGAGCTCCCCATTTTCTCCAACCCCCGGGCCCTAGCAACCATCATTCTGCTTTCTGTCTCTATGGGTTTGACTGCTCTAAGTACCTCGTATGAGTCGAATCCTACAGTATTTGTCCTTTTGTGACTGGCTTATTTCAATTAGTATGATGTCTTCCAGGTTCATTCATGTTGTAGCATGTATTAGAATCTCCTTTTTTTAAGGCTGGAATAATATTCCATTGTATGTATATACCACATTTTGTTTAACAATTCGCTTTTCATTTTTGCAAAAAAACAAGAGAGAAAGAAAGAATAAGGGAAAGAGGTATGCAAGTAAATATGGCATATTAAGAAAACGAATTTCTACTTTTCTATAAATAGGGTTTTTCAAATGACTAAAAATTTTACTTTGAAAAAATGCATTTCTTTCTCTGTTATTAAATTGGTATTATTAAAACAAAGTTATAATTTCTTTTAAGTATATATGCATATAACTATAACTTCTTCAACAAAGCCTTTCCTGATTCCCCTTTCCCACCTTGGCTGGAACTTATTGCTTCCCTTATTGAATTCACAAAACATTTCATCTGTACACCTCTAAAAAACACATATTTTTGGACAGGCACAGTGACTCACGCCTATAATCCCACCACTTTGGGAGGCCGAGGTGGGCAGATCACAAGATCAGGAGTTTGAGACCAGCCTGGCCAACATGGTGAAACCCCCATCTCTGCTAAAAATACAAAAATTAGCTGGGTGTGGTGGTGGGTGCCTGGAATCCCAGCTACTCAGAGGCTGAAACGGGAGAATTGCTTGAACCCGGGAGGTGGAACTTGCAGTGAGCCAATATCATGCCACTGCACTCTAGCCTGGGTGACAGAGCAAGACTCCATCTCAGGGGGGAAAGAAAAAAACAAAACACACACACACATATATATTTTTTTAACCTGTCTTGTAGATATTCATGTGCCTGTCATATTTTCTGTATTAGGCTGTAAATTCCCTGAGGGCAAGATCCAAGTCTGCCATTTTTGTATTTCCAGAATGCCTTGCATCCTTACTGTTTAATGCTAATTGTTGAATGAATTTGTTACTTCACAAGAAAAAAAGAGTTGCATATTCTTTTTTTTTTTTTTTAATTTTCTCAAACTTCAATCACTCTTCCCACTAAGTTGATAGTTGATGCCACTGGAAAAGTTATGACTTAATAACATTTTGAAATGTCTATCTTTAAGTGACAAGAGGAATAAGAAAGAGCTATTAAGGGAAACAGAAAGGAATAAACCAAAGGGGAAAGGATTTTTAGGAAGAAAGAGGTAGCTAACAGTGTTAAATTCTGCTCAGGTCAAGGAAGATCAAAACCAATAACAGTTAGTTGACTTGGGCAGTTCAGAAGAGTCATGAGAGCAAAAGCCAAGCTGTAAGGGGTTTAAAGATCCGGTGGTTGGTGACGAAAAGGAAGCCTCTGGTGTGGGGACTGACTTACACCATCTGAAACATGGCTTTCTGCTCAGAGGAAAGAGAAAAAAGAAGAGTGTTTTGAGAAACGCAGCAAAGAGCAAGGGGAAAAAAAAATCTTTGTAAGCTAAGAGGAAAATTTATTATGGGGGAATGTTATAATATAAATGACCCACTTAAAATTGGCCCCTATTTTAATGTCACTTGAGCATAAGTTGGCTCTATAAGATACGTCGTTTATTTGTTTTAACAGTTATTTCTGATCTGTTTCCAGAGTAAACCCAATAATAAGGTGACTGAAAATCTCTGACTATGTTTGAGGGGCTTCCACTGAGTAGCAGTGAAAACTCCAGCATGGCCATAACACCCTGGACCAGAATGCCAGGCAGCCTGCCTGCTAACTCAGATCCACGGTTCACCCACGAACACGTTTCATTACCTCTGCTGCTTCTGTTTCTTCTTCTGTAAAAGGAGAACGAGCCCTTCAGATCTGTCTCCTATTTGAGACTTAACCTATTGAGAAGATGATGTGAACTTGCATACCGCAGTGCCCTGTAAAGAGCTGTGGGCCCTAACCTCAGCAGCTAGTGCAGCAGTAGGGCCTCCGGGAAAACGGTCTTTCACTGGAAAATGACTACCTGCTGTAGTAAGCCAGGTGTTACAGAGGTGGGCCACATTTACAGTTATATTGTGGTGTCTAAAGATTTTCAATATTAGAGCAGGTGGATGAAAGACAAGTATTATTTGATATGCAGAAAAATACATGATAGTTAAAAGAATGGTTCCTTTGAAAATTCTTCTACTGCACATGTGGTCCACTTTTCAAAGAGAATAATGCACAGGATATGGATATATATATATGTATATATAGCATCATCAAATATATATATATATTTGTGAGATTTATAGGCCATTTTAAATTTCCTTTACTTCTCCAATTTTCCTACTTTATTGGATTTTTATCTTCATATTACAACCATTGTCTGGATTTCATATTGCGCATGCAACTCTGTTTCCCATGTGGTACCCACAGCTATACTGTATCTTTGCATAGATAGCAGGAGGAGTAGAATTAGCCTCAGCAATTTTGTGGTGTTGAGGAGAAACACTTGTTTGAGTAAAATTTACTCAGAATGATTGGGCTTTCCCCCGTGGTGTGTTATATACTCAGGATGGTGATCCCATTACTTAAATGTGAAGTTGTCTCTAGGAAAGGTTAGCGTGGGAAACATCGGGCGTGTAAGGAAGTGGAATTATAGTAAGCAAGGTTAAACGTGTTTGGAAGAAATGTGCTGAAATCACTAATGCCATAAAGTTTCCATATGTAGTCAGTGCACGTATATGGTACGTAGTAGTGCTGTAAAATCAAAACCAAATGTTTTCAAAGGGAAGAAAAGCAATTATTGAATGGGGCTTTTAAGATTGTTATACATGTGTGTGCAGATTTTCAAGAACACAAAATAAAAAATCATTATATGGGTAAATTAAACCACAGTATGAATACTAAGCAATTTGGGGCCTATTGCCCTCTATTGATAACGTTAGTAGGTAAAAATGCATAACTTCTGATTCATTTGAGAGAAAATGAATCCATTTAAAATAAAGTGTAATGAATAATTGTATAAGCCTGGGGCCATTTTCATTTCACAGGGCTGATATTTTAATGGTCTAAAATGTAAAGGACTCTTTTTAAGTCTGAAGCAATGAATGTAGTCTCAAATGTGCTATTGAGACAGAAGACTTTATGGCTTCAAAACTAGTTACTTTCATCTTAGTTTGCATTTGGTGGAGGAGGAAATAAAGTAAGGAGAATGTTTTTGCACAGGGTGTGTCCTAGAAGTGTGAAAGCTTCTAGCCACTTGGTGTTTACATTTGAACAACCACAATCAGCTTATTGTCACTTATATGTTTTTATTATATTCAGAATTATTCTAAAAGGTTATTCTGTCTTATCTAGCATCACTTTTCCTGAATGAGTTTTTAAATCCAAAATTTGCAGTCTAGTGAATAATGTTCAAACTTAGAACCCATATGACTTTGCATAGAGAAATTAACTATAAGTAGGGCTAGGAATGTTTAATTGTAAGTTTTGGGAAGCATTTGTGCCAAGTGTAGTTATTCGTAATGCTCCCAGTTACTCTTGTGTCTGAAGAAAGAAATGACAGCCCAGAGATTAAAAGGCCTGACACGAGAACCAGACTATCTAGGTTCCTAGTTTTGTGACGTTGAATAAGTTCTATAACTTGTCTATGCCTTAGTTTCATCTCTAAGGGTTGTTGTGAGAATTGAACGAGATGATAATTTATGTAAAGCATAAGAGCAACTGGTATTCTGAATAAGGGCGAGCTTGTATTTATTTATTTATTTTTATAAGATTTCTCCTTTCCTTTCTTTCTTTCGTTTTCCTTCCTTCCTTTATTGCTTGCTTGCTTGCTTGCTTGCTTTTTTTTTTGACAGAGTGTTGCTCACCCAGGCTGGAGTGCACTGATGTGATCTCTGCTCACTGCAGCCTCCGCTTCCTAGGTTCAAGTAATTCTCCTGCCTTAGCTTCCCAAGTAGCTGGGACTATAGGCGTGTGCCACCACGCCTGTATTTTTTGTATTTTTTTTTTTTTTTTTTGTATTTTTGTAGAGCCAGAGTTTCACCATGTTGGCCAGGCTGGTCTCAAACTCCTGATCTCAGGTGATCTGACTGCCTCAGCCTCCCAAAGTGCTGGGATTACAGACCACTTATAAAGCCATTGCGTCTGGCCTTATAAGATTACTTTAAAAGAGCAGCAGTGAAAAGTGCCTGTGCACATGCTCCCTTAAAGCATAATTATGCTGTATTTTAATAACCTTACTAGAATTATAATTTGAAGCAAATATCTCCACAAAGCCAGATCAATAAAGTTAAGACATCAGATTATAAAAATTGGCAGTCGATTCTTAAAGACATGTAGTAGCTTTTTTTTCAGACTGACATTTAGAGCCACCAGAATTATTTGTAACTACTAGCATGATTTTGAAGAAATAACTCAAAAATATATGAGTAAGAATCCTATTTCAAATGAGCCAGAAATAGCCATTGTAGCAGCCAAATGAGCTAACATTGCTGAGAATTTGAGAGTAGTGGTCCACAAGTTAAATATTTTGTCTTGCTTTTCTTCTAATAAAGATTCAAGAAACCAGAAGTTTGCAGGATGCGTTTTGAATTTTAGAAAAAGTTCAGTTTAGTCAGCTGCTGTTGGGTACTTAGCTCATATCAAGACTTGGAAGTGTCAAAATAATAACGTGTGATCCAGGACCTCATAGAAGGAATATAGAAACAGGTCTTTCAATTTGAGGTAACAAATGAGGGTGTGGGAAGCACATCTGGAAGAAAGGGCCCGGTGGTAGGATTTGGTAATAGAGACAGTTCCCCACATGTGGGAAGAGACTAAAGCCAGATTGTAGTAGCTGGAGAGTACAAGCACCAGGTGTTTGTTCATTTAGTCAGTAGATCACCTCCCACCGATAGTACACTAAATGAATCCGACAAGAATTTCTGCCCTCATGGAACTCACATATCTGGTCAATATGTTCACTGTAGTTTTAGCTAGGTTTGTGGGAAATGTTTAGTTTGTTTTTGTTTGTTCATTTGTTTGTTTGTTTGTTTTTTGAGACAGAATCTCACTCTATTGCCCAGGCTGGAGTGCAGTGGCACGATCTCGGCTCACTACAACCTCCGCCTCCTGGGTTCAAACAATTCTCGTGCCTCAGCCTCCCGAGTAGCTAGGACTACAGGTGTGCGCCACCATGCCTGGCTAATTTTTTGTATTTTTAGTAGAGACAGGGTTTCACCATGTTAGTCAGAATGGTCTCGAACTCCTGACCTTGTGATCCACCTGCCTCGGCCTCCCAAAGTGCTGGGATTACAGGTGTGAGCCATCGTGCCTGGCCCTCAGTTTGGTTATTTTTAAGATTTGCACTATATGAACCTGTTTATAGACTGAGTTATTCTTTAAGAACTGTGAGAGTAAAGGTGTGGAGAAAGGGAATAACTAGAGAAACAAAAGTTCTGGAAGACACTGCATGGAGAATGGATCCTCTGTTAAAATTTATTTTCTTTCCACTAATGAAGTGTGTATTTTATATCTTTTACAGGTATAGATGTAGATATAAAATGTTACTTGTCATATATGAACATTCTTGATCACAAAAATGAGGGGAGAATGATCTTGTAACTTTCTACTACAATTACATACAAATACTTATAACCCCATTAGATATTGTATTGATAAATACCTGTATTTGGTCTACAATATGAGGATTTAATAAATTGCTCTCTTAAGTACCAAAAATATTTCTGCAAAGGGCCTTCTTTGTGCCTTCTTTGTGTTTCTGTAGTTATGCAGCCCTGATAGCTGACACTTCTTTGTGTTTTGTAGTTATGCAGCCCTGATAGCTGACTGGCCAGTGGTGGTCTTGGGCATGTGCACCATGTTCATCGTGGTCTGTGCCTTGGTTGGAGTATTAGTGCCAGAGCTTCCTGACTTCTCCGATCCATTGCTGGTGAGTAGCATTTATGTTTTCTTTAGCCTAAAATCATCTTCAAATATTGTGTATTTTAATACATGTTGCCTTAGGTTATTTAGTAACCCATTTCTTTAAAAACCTTCTCAAGCAACAATTCTCTTTCTGAAAAGTAAAGACATTACTTTATCTGTATTATCAGGTTGTTAAAAGATCTAGGAACTTGCTTACCCTCAAAAATCTGGAAGGTTTGCTTCTTGGTCCCCATGTTTAAGCTAAAAAGCAATAAATTGGAGAATCTGCCTTCTATAAAATTATTCTCATAAAGTCTTTAACACTGTCTCTGTTTTCTCCCAAAGAAGTTAAAGGAATTTCAGTATTACTAACAGATAGCGGAGTCTGTTTTTAAGTAAATGTTTCTCTGGAGTGGAATTATGAGGAAACTATGATCAAGGATAATGAAACACTCTTGTAAAAATACTAACAATGTGTAGCATGATTTAATTTTATCATAATTTTTATAAGATAAAAATAAGTATTTACTAAATGCTTAGGCATGAGTTGAAAAGATAAACTTTCCTTAGACATGTATCATACCAAAGAATCAAACTGTTTTGTCACAGCAAATAGGTGATGATTATCATGTCAAGGCATCTTGTTTTAATGCAGTCACCTCTGGAGTAGCTGTGAGGAACTGTATTTTCTGTCGAAAGCTATACATTACTTTGACATTGCTTTCCCAAGCTTTCATTGTAACTATACTTAGCCTGAAATGAAATACACTAACGAGCACTTGTAATTTTGCCTTAGGGTTTTGAACCAAGAGGAACAGCAATAGGCCAGAGACTGGTCACATGGAATAATATGGTGAAAAATACAGGATACAAAGCAACATTAGCAAATTATCCCTTTAAATATGCAGATGAACAAGCCAAAAGGTAATCAATTATTTATTTTTATATAACTTTTAGATAAAACATTGCTTAATGAATTCCTCTTAAAATACTGCCTGAACAAAAAATTTAAATGTAAAATGTGTGGCTCAAAATCTTTGCCACTGAATTTGTTTAGCTTGTCATTGTGTTTGAAGATTTTGTTGTAGTAGGATGAAAAGGTGAGATTTTCTTTTTTTTTTTTCTTTTTAAGAAGTGAGAAAATTAATGTTGATTGCTTCTTTTAATCCTTTCAACTTAATATCAAGAACTAAGCAGGTAATGGCTTTGAGGAAGTACTGTTTCCAGTATGCTTATCAGCCTTGAAATAGCGAGAATTTTATTGAAGATCAAATTGTCGTTCCATTTCAGCCATCGGGATGATAGATGGTCAGATGATCATTATGAAAGAGAGAAAAGAGAAGTTGACTGGAACTTCCACAAGGACAGCTTTTTCTGCGACGTTCCAAGTGAGTGGCATCGTAGATGAACACACGCTCAGCGGTTTGCTGGCATTTAAAATTGAACATGATCACAGTCTAGACTGATAGTCGTGTGTGGCTAGTCACACAGCTTCACTGTTGCTGTTGAACCTAAAGAAATTTTGGCTAATTAACTTTTTCTTTTATTTCTCTAGTTTAGTCAACTACTAGTCTGAGTTTATTATTTAAATTAATGAAAAAAGTAATGATTGAGTTTTCTTATTTTAAGGAAGATATAAATCTAATGAAATTCTCGACCTCGCCCAACATTTGAAGTCTTTTTAAACATTTCTTGTACTGTTTATTTCTAGATCAAATACAGGTACATATTTTTGGATTGAACCTTGAAATAATCTGTTGAATTATTTAAAAATCATTTAAAGTTTTGATTCATTCTAAAATGAATCAGAAAATGACTTAAAGTTCTGATTCATTCAAAAAGCAGTACTGTATTAAGAGCCGTCAGTGTGCTGCCTCATCACTAGGCAGTAGAGGTAGAGAGGTGAAAAAAATAAAGTCTAGAGGTTCAAAGTTTGAATACCTCGGGCCTGTCATATAATACAAGTGAATAAAGCTAGCTAGGTATGACAAGAGAAGTGATGGTGATTGTGGAACGCTAAGGAGCATCTGCCCTGTCTAAAGAAATCAGCTGCTACTTAGCCGCGACAAAAGATGGGGTTCTAGAAATGAGGACCCAAATGTTGCAAGAACTTGCCAGAGGTCAAAAATCCGGATTTTTTTTTTTTTGAGATGGAGTTTTGCTCTTGTTGCCCAGGCTGGAGTACAATGGCGCCATCTCGGCTCACCACAACCTCTGCCTCCCAGGTTCAAGTGATTCTCCTGCCTCAGCCTTCCCAAGTAGCTGGGATAACAGGCATGTGCCACCATGCCTGGCTAATTTTATATTTTTAGTAGAGATGGGGTTTCTCCTTGTTGGTTAGGCTGCTCTCGAACTCCTGAACTCAGGTGATCCTGCCACCTCGACTTCCCAAAGTGCTGGGATTACAGGCATGAGCCACCGCACCTGGCCAAAAATCCAGATTTGAATGTGGAATCATCAGATCTCTAAATGTTGGCAACAAATTCACTACCCAAAATTTGCTGTAACATGGAGTCAGCCTGATCACTCTGCAGCTGCCAGGGAAGAAGGAAGGCATAGCCTAGAGGATATGAATATAAGTATGTAAGCCATTGATTAGCCATAGTGATTAGGATTGAGGAATTGTGGATAGTGTAATTTCTAATTAAGTAAATATTAACATTAAAGCTCTTTTGATTTCAGCTTTTGCTGTTGTTATTGAAAATCCCTCTTAAATGCATGTTTTCCTGTCTTATTAGAACACTTAATAGAACACTAGATGACCTGATTGGATCATTGATGTTTCTGGAGCTTACCAAGTCTCAGGATCTTTATTTTGATCTCTTCCTCTGTATAGTAATAGATAGTAGGAGATTAGGCAGAATCTTATACTGATCCCAGGAAGCAATACATGTTTCCTTTTCTGTGTCTTCTCTTAAAAAACGTTAGGAAGTTGAACTCTGGTTACTTGCATGTTCTGGCTGTTTTATTTCTCTCAATCAAAGTGTTACTATATATTATTGCTTAACCAACATCGTTAGTTATGAACTTAACCAGGAAAAACATTACATTTCAATAGTCAATGCTAAATATTGTCTCATAAGTAGATTCTGCCTTGACTAAAGCCATTACCAACTCTGTGTAAATGAAATGTTTCAGTTTCCACCAGGCTGATTTTGCTCTCCAAAATTAGTCAACATAAGATAATAGCCAAAACTTCATGATCATAGATAAAACTTTTTCTAATAAAGCTTTATTCATAAGTTTACCTGCTGATTTGTTAGCACAATTAGGCATTTTAACTAACGTAAAATTAATCTTCTTTGTTTTATGTGGTTCATATTTTTTAATATGTGGTTCATGTTGTTTCTGTTCTAAGGATACAGAAACAATATTGTTGGGCATCTGTTATCATCTCATTTAATTCTCACAGCTATTTGAGATAGATATTGCTGTCTGCATTTTACAAATGAGGAACCAAGGCTCAGAGAAGTTGTTAGTTGCCTACGGTCACATAGCTAGTAAATGACAGGACCTGGTTATATCCTAATCTGACTTTAAAGACCATGCATGCCCTTTCTGGTATATCATACAACCTCCCTTATTCAGAAACATATTTTATGTTAATCTGATTTTCAAAATATTTTTTCTAGATTCTAGTATACTAGAGAGACCATGTACTCAACCGGAATATGGCCAGCATTCTGTACTTAGTTGACTGTTTTTAATGATTTTTAAATAGATCACCCACCATCTTTCCTCTCTAGTTAGCTGCCAGGGAGAACATCCCTGTAATCCATTCTTGGTATTCCCTAGTGCATCTTTTTTTATTATGGTGATGTGTTGTGAAATTAAAAGGGATATATTCAATTAGTTTCCTATTGTAAATTCCTATGGATTTTTCTTCCTATAGTCTGACCAAAAATAGATTTGCTATATATTTCATACAATATTAAGATGTAGTGAGTAGACAAAGGCTTTGCGCTAAGACAATATTATGGCATTGCTTTTTTTGTTTGTTTCTTTTAACATTTTCTCCTGGAATTTATCAAAGGAAAGAATTTCCTGCCGCTAATGAATCGTCCATGTGGTTTCCCAGTTTGAGTTATTTCCGAATCCTGAGTCTTATGAAATAAATGAATAATTTATAAACCTTTCTATTTCCTTTTTTTTTTTTCATATCACCAGGTGACCGATATTCCAGAGTGGTATTTACTTCATCTGGAGGGGAGACATTGTGGAATTTACCTGCAATTAAATCGATGTGCAATGTAGATAATTCCAGGGTATGTAAAATAAAACTAAAATCTCCTTAGCACAAATAAGGTTGTATTATTGAAACTCCTTTTATTGCTGACCCTGGTGTCTGATCAGATGAAAGTACTTAAGAGGCTTACCTACTGAGAAGTAAACTCCAGCAGGCCAGCTTTGCATTCTCTCAGATCCCAGGATCAAAGTGTCCGTGTTTCCTTCTCCAACTTTAAAACATACCATCTTCCTTTTTCTTTCGCATTCATGGTCTCTGGCTGTTGATGGTGTTTTCTGTTATTTCACAGAATATTTCTTTTCAGTATAATATTTAAGACTGTTTTTCTTCTTTTGTTGTATTTTTGATTTCCTAACCTAGTTTCATCGGTCCCTATTTCCTGCCCTGAGGCAATTGTCAGCATCTTAATTGTGCAATGAAATGTCTGCCTCTCTGGCAATCACTGGGTCATTTGGGCCAGTGACCTCAAAGGGAAATTTAGGGAGCAGGCTGGGAAAGGGGACATCAAAGAGCATAAATACAGTATCTATGTAAATGGCCAGAGTAATCCAATCCAGACTGCCCTGAATGCTAAACACCTTGTTGCTTTGGGAGACACCAGAATGCAAGAAGACAAGCGCTTTGTCTCTCAGTCTTCTCTAGAGCCAAAAACATGTCAGCATCAGAAAATTTAGTGAGCTTCTGGGTTTGGAAGAGCTGTCAATTTCATATGTTCAGAGATAGTTTCTCTAAATAGAAACTGCTATCTGATGTCACTAATGAACTTGTCCAAGCAAAGCAACTGGCATAAAAGGAACACTTTGTGTTCCCACATAACTCTAAAATGTAAAATAACTGGTTAGTTAAAAATCGAATCATGTGCCCTGCTGAGAGCTAGCCTGACAACCTGATGTAATCACCTGTTCTATCAACAGGGAAATATCTTAATGAAATAGGCAGTAGAAAGGAAAGAAGAGATCACCCAAACCAGCAGTCTCATTGTGCTAATATGAGTACCTTCTAAGAAATACATATCTTAACCAGGTAACCTAGTTAGTTGGTCCCAGATCTCCCAGATTTACCCCATCCTTCATTCTAAGAGGCTGTACATTTTGAAAATGACTTTCCAATCGACTGAGGTATTGGGATTTTCTGTCAGTGCCATCTTCCTTTCACATAGACAAAACCACAAAAGATCTATAAACAGACCAAAGTTTCTTAATTGGTGATCAATCTTTATTTGTGATATTTTCTTCTACAGCTATCAGTTCCTTATTTGAAGGCTGTGAACCTATTTATCCTTGTCATGCATTAGGATACTTCTTATACAGAAAGTTAACTCTAAAGTTGTAAATGTGTAGTGATATTTACTATGTGCAAGATTTTATGCTGGGTACTTGTACATCATTCACAATGGATCTATGACCTTGGAATTTATAATGTGTTTTACACGGATGATAAATTAAGGTTAGAGAAGCTAAGCCAGTCTGGTTACTTTATAATCACACCTTGGATGAGTGCAGTTCATTAACTTCTATCCCTTCTTGTCCTCATTCTTCTACCTTTGGTTGATCTTCAGACCTTCCCTTTCCCGAAGACTCTGAAGTGATTGAATTCACTCAGTTAATTAATAGCTGATATTTAGTGCATATTTATCATGTGCCAGGAAGTGTTCTAAATACTTTAATACATTATTTCATTTAATCCCGATGACAGTGTTATGAATTAAATACTAAATAGCCCGTTTTTTAGTTGAGGAAAGTTCACATCTGTGGTCGGGCACTTCCAGGATTGGAACCCAGCCAAGTTGAACTCCAGAGTCTGCCTTTACCCACCCTGCTTTATGCTTCTAGTGAGGAAGATACCTCCCCCATTCTGTTTCCTTATACAGTGCCATTTCCCACAGAAATGAAGCTTAAAAAGTCATTGTGGTCCGGAATAAGTATCCTTTTTTTTAAAAAAAGAATTTATTCTAGCAGTTTATTCCATGAGTGCATGTTAGACTCTGAGACTCAAAAGCCAGTAAGCAATAGTATGCCATGATGGGTTTCATAAATAAAAGGAGTATATTATTTAATCTCTCTCTCTCTATATATATATATATGTATATGTATATATGTATGTATTTGTATATATATATTTGTAACTACCTCAACATGATTTATGCAGATCGATGGATGATAAAAATCATCATGTTGAGGTAGTTTACAGAAAAGCATATGCAAAGGACAGGATACATAATTTGAAAGAATTACATGAAGGGAAAACAATGGGAGGAAAATAATAAAGCTAAGATGAGATTTATAATAATGCACACCCCACAATCTTGTACATTTGCTCATGGGAGCTGCAAACTTATCTCTAACCTCCCAGCAGCCAGAGCAAAAAGAATTTCACAATCAGTAACAAAAGTCATAAAAATAGGGTAACAAATTTGTTTTTTAGAAGCCCAGCTTTTCCTCCTGCTAAGACAGGAGGAGACAGTTCCCCCATGGTCTTCATAAAAGAAGTGTGATGCTGTATACAAAATTGTTAACAGCATGCTTAGAAGAGATACAATATTAAAGTTCAGCTGATTTGCAAAACATAGGTAGGCTGGTAGCAAGAAAACATTATATAGCGAAAGCATTTCTATAAGAGATAAAAGCAATGGAGTCTAAGTATGTGGCTTTCTAATGGTTTAGCTTGTTGCATTTGCATAATTTAGACTATCTAAAGGAATAGATGTACTCTGCTTGTCTAAGTCTGTCTTTCTACTGAGTTGATGATAAGGATTGGACAGCTGTGAGTTTGAGTTTTTAATCCCTGGCAAGAACAGGACAACTATATGTTTTTAGTACATACTTTGTAAGTCACCAACTAAGAGCATTATCTATATGCTTTGGCAGTTAATTAGGAAGAGAGTAGTATTGTGGTCCTCTTGTGAGAATTTGAAAACCAGACTCAAGACACATGTCAAAATGAATGGTTGGTATGGCCAATTATAAATCCATACCAACAAATGAATAAATAGGTGATCAGAGCCCCAAAAGTCTACCTTAAAGAGTATGGTTATCATTTTAACTTGTTAAATACTATTTTTACCAATTATAAACACCTTTGTATTCTAGTCTCAAACTCTATGAACCTGTAATAAACCTTTCTCATAGAGATGATATATTCATCTGCTATCTTAAATAATAACTATTGGTTAACAGTTCGGCTTTCAGATTATTACTGTACCTTTTTTTAGTCTCCCAGTTCAAGACACTGTTAGGATTTTTATTTGTTACAGTGGTTTGAGCCGAGTTGTCCTAAGACTACTTGGCAGTTGTTCCTCTCCCCCAGCCCCCAGATCCTGGTTGTTATATGGAAGCACTTGATTATTAACAACTCTGAAGTTAAATGGGGCACAACCAAGTGATAGCAAGCAGAAGACCTTAATTGTTGGGAGGTTGACTCCAGAAAACGTCTGGTAATTAGTATAACATCCCAGTGAGACCAGATGTTTCAACTGTTGCCCGCCTGTGTTTACAGCACATTTAGTTCAAACTGTAGATTTTCTTTAAATTACATGCCATTTATACTCATAATTCAGACAGCATTGGTTTCCAAAGTGAAGTGCTTCTGTTTCTGATCCTGTTTTCTACCTCCTAACAGAAATGCTTGTTTTCTTACACACTTTCAAAAGGAGCTTCAGTTGATTCCCCTACTCTTCTTCATTGCCTCTTTCTACCCTTTGACATCCTAAAGGACACACTCGTGTCATTAGTAACCAGAAGTGAGTCTCTGTAATTTTGACTGCTGGAAACCATTTACTTGTTCTGTAGTCTTTGTACAATGTAGAAGTTGGAGCTCTGAGGACTCAGCTTGTAAAGGGATTTGAAATTTGGTGTCAGAGACTGTTTACTAGGGTGACTTTTGTGAACAGCTGGAAAACCCCTGAAGCTTAGAAGATTCCAGAAACATGTTTTCCTATTCTTGTTTTAAAGAGGGCTACAGAGCCCTTGCTTTTTCTTTTCTCCCTAGGCTCCCCTTAAATGTTTAATACATAGGGAGCTTTGTTACGCAGGGAGGAGGGTCCAGCAATCAATTGAACCTGGTATTAAGGGCTTAATTTTCCTCCCTTTTGTTCTTTTCTCAGCTTCTTAAAATATCTTCAACTTAGCCAATAGTTTTAAAAGTTAAGGTATCATTTAAAACTCTCTGCTGGTTTCTTCTTTTTCTCTCTTCTCTTCCTTTACCCTCTATTTTAAGTCAACTCCACCCCTGCCACTATCTAACTAGGGAAGTACACAAAGACATGTTATAACCACATAAGCACAATGGTTCCCCTAAGCACCCATCTTGTGAATAACTAGAATTAGAAGGGCTATATTCCTCATGAGAGCTATAAGAAGTTCTTTCCACTAACTCCATTTTTATTTTTATAAACTTCAAAGATTTTGAAATTATTCATATGAATCCCTCTTCCAAAAATATGGCAAAAACATATCTGTTCTGTGTGAAGACATGCCTGCTTTCCAGTCTCTTCAAGCCCCATAATATAATACATGCTTCTGTGTTTCTATATCTCACTCACATGTGACTAAGGTAGTGCCATTGTCACATCACACTTACAGACTTGGGTACTTTCTCTGTAGGTCACCATAAGCCCTTACATATAATACCATACTTCTCGCTTTGAATTACAGTTATTTATGTTTGTGTCTGATTTCCCTGCCACACCGTGAACCATTTGAGAGGAAGGACAACTGTGCCTTATTCATCTTGTGTAGATGCTGAGTAAATTTGCTTTTGAATGGATGAATAGATCAAGAACATATGACCTTACTCCCTAAAAGTATAGACAATTCCTTGAACTCCATTCCTTTAAATTCAGTGCTGGCATCCAACTCAGGGTAGAGAAAACCAGTCATGATGTCTTTTCTCTGTCCTTGTTTCTTACCCCATATGCGTTCTCGAAAACTGGTTTCCCAAAGGTTGAACATCAATCAGTACCATCTTTCAGTTGGAGAATTGGCTTCCCAGTGACTTACTAGCACTTGTTTTTACTAGCAGCCATCAAAATAGTATTTAGTCTGTGTTTAGAATGTCTAACTTCTTAATCTTTGGTCAACTATACACATCTAAAAATGTGCTATTATTTGAAAAGATTATTCAAGGACAGAATTCTATGCTTTCTCTCCCAGTTTTACTTGGCAACTCCATGTCCTTTCTTTGACATTTGATTATTTCAACAACTACAGGTCATTTTCCTTCTAGCTGATAATGGATTTTCACAATGGATACAGTTCATTTTCTTCCATCTGAAAACTGTCAGACATTGGGGTTGCATTACCTTTCATTCAGTTCATCAAGCTGACCCTAGTGGTTTGTATGTTACTTCTTTGTAAGGTGAAACTGGTAATCTGCCATGAAAACCAGTGAGATGCCATTCCAGGGTTTCCTGTTGTTAGGTGGTTCATTTTTCCCTAAGTTAGCATATGTGAATGTTTTTACCTGGAAACAGTCAAGTATGAATTATCCTAGTTTATGGGACGTCTATGATTGTTCCTCAAAAATGAGCTTTAAAATGAAGCCTTTGTTAAAGTAAACATTATTTTAGTACATTTGAACAATAACCTTTTGGGTTCATTTTTCTTTACCCTCAATAGCGTTATCTTTAGAAAAACAAACAACTTTTTATTATGTAAATCCTCCAGCATATACAAAAGTAGATAAATAGTGTAATGGACTGTCGAAATAGGTCACCCAACTTCCACAGTTCTCAACACGTGGCTAGTCCTGTTTCATCTACACCCCACCCCCACAGGATTAATCCCAGGAAAGTATCCTGGTAAACAGAGTTCAGGGATCGTAGGTAACTTGGTTCTTGGGTAAGTCCAAGTTCTAAAGAGGTGATTCATGCCAGCTGCTGCTCTACTTTGAGAAGACATTTCAATATATGATTAATAAAGCCTAGTTTAATCAAGGTAAAGAGTGTTTTTAATCCTACTAGAAAAAAAAAAAATACTCACTTCCTCTTTGAACTTTGGAGTTTCTTGCCTGTAACAGCCTTTGGTAAATAGAGATGAGGGAAACTGATAGGACCAGGTCATCTTTAGTTCTAGTTCTCCTAAAGAGAACTCTCTGGTCAGGCTCAGGAGAAGAGGAATATTTCTTATTCTCACCTCAGAAAAGAGGGGCTACTCATCTAATTTACAGAATGGAATGGTACAGACTTTACCATAATCTAGCAAACCAGTGATGGAACAGTTTTTCAATTTTTTATAACAATAGCTGTAAGATGGAAAGCCTTCTCCTGGAACAATGTTTTAAATGAAATACTTTCCACACCAAATCCAGAATTATCATACTTGCTAATATGCAGCAGGCCCTCATTTACCAAAAGAGAAAGTTCTCCAAAAAAGGATTTTTGCCAATTTGAATAAACTTTATGGAAGAAATAATTAAATTCTTCAGCATTTATTTTATTGTATATACCAATTTAAAAATCAGATATAAATCATATTTTAATCTAGAAACATTGCCCTTTTCTACTCATACTTCAGGAAACAATTTTATTCCAGACTTTTATGCTTCTTTTTTGGAGATGGAGTCTCACTCCATTGCCTAGGCTGGAGTGCGGTGGCACAATCCCAGCTCATTGCAACTTCCGCCTCCTGGCTTCAAGCGATTCTTCTGCGTCAGCCTCCCATGTAGCTGGCATTACAGGCATGCGCCCACCACGCCCAGCTAATTTTGTATATTTAGTAGAGACGAGGTTTCACCATGTTCGCCAGGCTGATCTCGAACTGCCGACCTCAGGTGATCCACCCGCCTCGGTCTCCCAAAGTGCTGGGATTATAGGCGTGAACCACCGTGCCTGGCCGATGCTTCTTGACATCAGCACTTTTGATATTACTGGGGTCACTTTTTGATTCACCAAGCAGTTTTTGTCTTAATCTGTTTGGGCTTCTATGGCAAAATACCTCCGACTGGGTAACTTATAAACAACAAAAATTTATTTCTTATAGTTCTAGAGGCTGAGAAGTTCAAGATCAAGGAATTAGCAGATTTAGTCTGGTGAGGACCTGTTCCTCATAGATGGGGCGTTCTATGCGTCCTCATGGACTCTTACAAAAGCACTACTCCCATTCATGAGGGCTCCTCCCTTGTAATTTAGTCACCTCCAAAAAAGCCACACCCCCTAACACACTGGGGATTAGGTTTCAACCTGAATTTGGGAGAAGCACAAACATTCAGGCCAAAGCAGTTCTCTAGGGAATATCATCTTTGCTTCTAACTGTTGATTGAAATATAGTACTTTAGTCACCAACAATTTCATGCTGATAACCAGAATTTTAGGCAAAACCACAAATTTGTATCAATTGTACAGTTGTTTTCTTCATCCTATACAGGTACATACCTAAGCTTCACAACCTGTCCACTTCATTGCTTTTTAAAGTGACTTTAAAAAGTCTTGTTGACTAAGTAGGTGTTAATTTGATCTCCTTTTGTAAACAAAACTAGCATTGGTTGAAGTTGTTTCACACTTGCATGTCATCCCCAAACAGTAGTTTTTAATTCAAAATAAAGTAACCTAAAGGGCATCCTGTAACATGAGGCCATTTAGGGGGAAATTTCACCCTGTTTTCAAACTGATTCCTAATTTAAGAGGATAATGATTTAGCTTTTGTAACTTTCCCTGTCCCTCAAGGTCACCTTAGTGCAGACCTTTCCAGTTGTGAACGATTGTGAACCAATTTAAACTGTAGTCCTTCTGCTTGTCGCTATCTCTGCAGATCAGATCTCACCCCCAGTTTGGTGATCTCTGCCAGAGGACCACTGCTGCCTCCTGCTGCCCCAGCTGGACACTGGGAAACTACATCGCCATTCTGAACAATAGATCGTCCTGTCAGAAGATAGTCGAGCGAGACGTCTCTCATACCTTGAAGCTGCTTCGGACTTGTGCCAAACACTACCAAAATGGCACTCTCGGGCCAGACTGCTGGGACATGGCAGCCAGAAGAAAGGACCAGCTCAAGTGCACCAATGTCCCACGCAAATGTACCAAGTACAATGCCGTGTACCAGATCCTCCATTACTTGGTGGACAAAGACTTTATGACCCCAAAGACGGCTGACTATGCCACGCCAGCTTTAAAATACAGCATGCTCTTCTCTCCCACAGAGAAAGGGGAGAGCATGATGAACATTTACTTGGACAACTTTGAAAACTGGAACTCTTCTGACGGCGTGACTACCATCACCGGGATTGAGTTTGGTATCAAACACAGTTTGTTTCAGGATTATCTTCTAATGGATACTGTGTATCCTGCCATAGCCATTGTGATTGTCCTTTTAGTCATGTGTGTCTACACCAAGTCCATGTTTATCACTCTGATGACAATGTTTGCAATAATCAGTTCTTTGATTGTTTCCTATTTTCTCTATCGTGTAGTATTTCACTTCGAATTTTTTCCTTTTATGAACCTCACTGCCCTCATTATTTTGGTTGGAATTGGAGCAGATGATGCCTTTGTCCTGTGTGATGTTTGGAACTACACAAAATTTGATAAGCCTCATGCTGAGACCTCAGAAACTGTAAGCATCACCTTGCAGCACGCTGCCCTCTCCATGTTCGTCACCAGTTTTACCACTGCTGCTGCCTTTTATGCTAACTATGTTAGCAACATTACAGCAATCCGATGCTTTGGAGTTTATGCAGGGACAGCTATTTTGGTGAATTATGTTTTGATGGTCACATGGCTTCCAGCAGTTGTTGTGCTGCATGAACGGTATCTTCTTAATATATTCACTTGCTTCAAAAAGCCCCAGCCCCAAATATATGATAACAAAAGCTGCTGGACAGTGGCTTGCCAGAAGTGCCACAAAGTACTCTTTGCCATTTCAGAAGCATCTCGAATTTTTTTTGAAAAAGTATTGCCATGCATTGTCATTAAGTTTCGCTACCTTTGGCTGTTTGGGTTCCTTGCCTTAACTGTAGGTGGGGCCTACATTGTATGTATAAATCCAAAGATGAAACTGCCCTCACTGGAGTTATCCGAGTTCCAGGTGTTCAGGTCGTCTCATCCTTTTGAGCGTTATGATGCTGAATACAAAAAGCTTTTCATGTTTGAACGTGTTCACCATGGTGAGGAGCTCCACATGCCTATCACAGTAATCTGGGGCGTGTCCCCAGAAGACAATGGCAATCCACTAAATCCCAAGAGTAAAGGGAAGTTGACATTAGATAGCAGTTTTAACATCGCCAGCCCAGCTTCCCAGGCATGGATTTTGCACTTCTGTCAAAAACTGAGAAACCAAACATTCTTTTACCAGACTGATGAACAGGACTTCACCAGCTGCTTCATTGAGACGTTCAAACAGTGGATGGAGAACCAGGACTGTGATGAGCCTGCCCTGTACCCATGCTGCAGCCACTGGAGCTTCCCCTACAAGCAAGAGATTTTTGAACTGTGCATCAAGAGAGCTATCATGGAGCTGGAAAGGAGTACAGGGTACCATTTGGATAGCAAAACCCCAGGGCCGAGGTTTGATATTAATGATACTATCAGGGCAGTGGTGTTAGAGTTCCAGAGTACCTACCTCTTCACACTGGCTTATGAAAAGATGCATCAGTTTTATAAAGAGGTGGACTCATGGATATCCAATGAGCTGAGTTCGGCCCCTGAAGGCCTCAGCAATGGTTGGTTTGTCAGCAATCTGGAGTTCTATGACCTCCAGGATAGCCTCTCCGATGGCACCCTCATTGCCATGGGGCTTTCAGTTGCTGTTGCATTTAGTGTGATGCTGCTGACAACTTGGAACATCATCATAAGCCTTTATGCCATCATTTCAATTGCTGGAACGATATTTGTCACTGTTGGTTCTCTCGTCCTGCTGGGTTGGGAGCTAAATGTGTTGGAATCTGTCACCATTTCCGTTGCCGTTGGCTTGTCTGTAGACTTTGCCGTCCATTATGGGGTTGCCTACCGCTTGGCTCCAGATCCCGACCGAGAAGGCAAGGTGATCTTCTCTCTGAGTCGCATGGGCTCTGCGATTGCCATGGCTGCCCTGACCACCTTTGTGGCAGGGGCCATGATGATGCCCTCCACAGTTCTAGCGTACACCCAGCTGGGCACCTTCATGATGCTCATCATGTGTATCAGCTGGGCTTTCGCCACCTTCTTTTTCCAGTGTATGTGCCGGTGCCTTGGACCACAGGGGACCTGTGGTCAGATTCCCTTACCTAAAAAACTACAGTGCAGTGCCTTTTCCCATGCCTTGTCTACAAGTCCTAGTGACAAGGGACAAAGCAAAACACATACCGTAAATGCTTATTTAGATCCCAGGGGCCCCAAATCTGAACTGGAGCATGAGTTTTATGAATTAGAACCTCTGGCTTCCCACAGCTGCACTGCCTCTGAGAAGACCACTTATGAAGAGACCCACATCTGCTCTGAATTTTTCAACAGCCAAGCAAAGAATTTAGGGATGCCTGTGCATGCAGCTTACAACAGTGAACTCAGCAAAAGCACTAAAAATGACACTGGCTCTGCCTTGTTACAGCCCTCTCTTGAACAGCACACCATGTGTCACTTCTTCTCTCTGAATCAGAGATGTGGCTGCCCAAATGCCTACAAACGCTTGAAATACGGCCCGCACTCTTGCCAGCAGATGGGGGACTGCGTGTGCCACCAGTGCGCTCCTACCACTAGCAGCTTTGTCCAGATCCAAAACGGCATGGCACCTCTGAAGGCCACACACCAAGCTGCCGAGGGCTTTGTGCACCCCATCACACACATCCACCACTGTCCCTGCCTGCAGGGCAGAGTAAAGCCAGCTGGAATGCAGAATTCTCTGCCTAGGAATTTTTTCCTCCAGCCAGTGCAGCACATTCAGGCCCAAGAAAAAATTGGCCACACCAATGTACACAGTCTTCAGAGGAGCATAGAAGAGCATCTTCCAAAGATGGCAGAGCCATCATCATTTGTCTGCAGAAGCACTGGATCATTTCTCAAAACGTGTTGTGACCTCGAGAATAAACAAAGGGAACTCTGTAAAAATAGAGACATGAGCAATATGGAGAGCAGTGGAGGGACTGAAAACAAGGCAGGAGGGAAAGTGGAGCTGAGCCTGTCACAGATGGATGCAAGTGTGAACTCAGAACATTTCAATCAGAATGAACCAAAAATCATATTTAATCATTTAATGGGGGAGGCTGGCTGTAGGTCCTGCCCAAATAATTCACAAAGCTGTGGCGGAATTGTGAGAGTGAAGTGCAATTCTGTGGACTGTCAGATGCCAAACATGGAAGCCAATGTGCCTGCTGTATTAACACACTCGGAACTTTCTGGTGAAAGTTTGTTAATAAAAACACTATAATAAATACAGCATTCAATTCAGAACCAGTGCCTCAGTTATTCTTTTAACATGGAAGTAAAATCCAGAAGCTTAGAAAAGAAGCCCAAAAATACAGCAACAAGCGTGTTTCACATTAACAATTATAGAATATTTTTATATTTCTTAGGAACAATAAACTTACAAATCTGCTGAGTGCATTAGGTTATTAGATTGGATGATTGTTGGATTTTATATTTTCAAAAAGTATAGTTGTTTTTTACATTTATGCCCAGCTTGAAATATAGAAATATATAAATATTTATATATTTATATCTCTTTCTACACTCCCACTGCAGTGAACTGGAGGTTTAAAGTTTGAATTAAAGTTTCTGTTCTCCTGGGCCATCATATTCACCTGGTATCCTCATTCTAGTATATTTTGTGGGCAGTGATCAGGACTTCGGATCGCTCAACACCAATACTAGGAATTGCTCTAATTTTCATTGAGCCACTTCATTTGGGATCCAAAAACTAAACAACATTAAAATTTACATTTTTGGTGAGGCTTCATGTAAAAAATCAATTGCCAAGCACCTTAATAATGCATCCCACATGTCTGCTTCAGTAGACTTTACATGAAGCCAAGAACACACATATCCACACCAGTGTCTTTTCCACTTTAGCCAAAATGTACAGTTGTTCAGTTATTTTAGCTGTTAACCCAGGAGCCATGAGCATCATCTGTGTCAGGCCACAATTATGTTAGAGGCACAGAAGGAAGGGCATGAATGAAGAGATGTGATCACACAAAACAGTGCTGCACTTCCCAGGATACATTGCCTGATGCCAGAGACAGATCCAGGTCAGGTGAGCATTCAGAGCAAGGGAACTTGGATGAAGTCTTGCTTCCAACTCTGCCCCTGAGGGGCCATGTTTAGAAGGCTGCTTTCTGCTTTGTTAAAGAGTGTCTCAAGACACTTAAGGATTATTTTCTTGTGCAGCTAACACCTGGAAATACTGAGCCTTCAGGCAGCATCTTAAATGACACTTGTGTATCTCATGTTAGATCAGTTGGCAGTAATTGAGCTGTTGGAGCCTGCTTTCTGGATAAGGCTTCAGATGACAGCCGTCATCATAGGGTGTCATCTGATCCTTTGTGCATTCCAGCCCCATCCTGGAAGTGTTCCTCTGCATTCTGCTTCCCTCTGGAGTTCTACCTCCAATTTGGTCCTCCGAAGAAAACAGTGGAAGTATTTGTAAATACAATGTTCCCTCCTAACGTTATATTGGTTATTTTCTAAGAATAGTTTTCCAAATTAGATCTGCATGTTATTCCAGGGCCTGAAAAAAAAGCTGTCAGGAGCAGGAAGGGATCTTATGGGTCATTGACTCCAGCCCACATCCACTAAACCACCGATTTGTTAAGTAACTTTCCAGCTTTTGCTTGAACACTCCGGTGACCAGTAGCTCACTACATGTCTACCTTGGTTGAACTGGAATCTGTTGTCCTGTAGTTTTTCTACCAGTTTGTCCTCATTCTGTTCTCTGAAGTGAAAGCAAACATCCCTCCTGCTAACATTCGCAGTTCACTGAGTTCATCCCGTGAACACAGATTGAGCATCTCCGCACTGTGTAGCTGAAATACACAGACTCTGATTACACTGCAAGGAGGAGGACCAGCCCCCAGGAGCGTGGATGGCACTCCCGCTAGTTCACACAGGGATGGAAATAACTTTTGCTCAAGTATTACAGCCAACTTTCAGGCAGCGTACAGGGAACTAGACCCTCTAGGTATCTCACATGTTCTGTTGCTAAGCTGCCTCTCCAAACCAGTTAGATTTTTTAACACTGACATTCAGGAATTTATGTCCATTCCCATCGCACTTAATTCTGTTAGATAAATACGGAATGTATGGAGGAGAAGCAACACTTGAAAACAGGACTCACAAACCCAACACTAGAGTCTTTGATTTCCCTCTGAAATGTGTAACCACAAAGTTATGTGAAAATTTAGTGGCCCAAAAGCACTTTTTTCTTGGGCACACACACAGATTGAATTTAAAGGCATTTAAAAAAAAAAAAAAAAGCATTTGTTTACGGATGACCTAACCTGTAAGACTTTCAGGTAAGCTAAGTGTCATTTCATTTGAAAATGAAGACTAGAGGGAGGAGGGGGAACATTCTATGTCTTCTCCCTGGGTTCCATCAGGGAGGCATGGTTACGGTGCACCTTGCCTGCTCTGGCTCCAGGGGGCTGGAGGGGCCTCGCCCATCCCCCATCCCCCATCTCTGATTAATTACCCTGAACTTTGAATGCAACAGTGAACCCTTTTCACATTTATTTCATCTCCAGATTTGGGACTTTGAATTGACTATGTTTTTCACAAATGGATTTCTTTTTTTAAAAAAGTATTTATTTGCTGGGGCTAGAAAGTTTTAAGATTTTTTTTTTTTTTTAATTCATTACTGGGCAGCAGAGGATCACTGTTTCTAGTAATGTTTCACAAAAAATTTCATCCAATCTTCTAGATAATTTTCAAAACAGATAAGAGGTTAAATTATACATAGGGAAAAGATCCCTTTCCTCTGTCTGTGAAATACTTGTAACTTGGAAGGTATTTGGTTATGGAAAGAATTTGCAGACTCACTACAACAGAGAACATCTCTGAGGTTTGAGTCCATGTTATCAAACTTGTTCCTGACTTCTTCCCTGCAAGGTCACTTTTTAAACCCCTATTTTATTGAAAAGTGGAAGAGGCCAAGAGCAAGGATTTTTTCACAGGGACAAGCTGTGTTTGAAATAACCACACCGCTTCATCTGTGTGTATTCATTTCTTGTGTGTAATTGCTGTAAAATGCACATCCTCCTAGAATAATATTCTTTAAAGGTAGGCTAAGCTGCTATTAAATGTTATTGTAATAATCTATGCCTGAGCTTCAATCATTCTAAATTTTTAAACTTTTGCATGGGGTGATGTGAAGAGTAGTTTACAAATGTGATCTTCCAGGAGATTAGGAAATGTTCCCGGTTCCCATTGTCTCACATGGAAACCATCTTTCCACCAGCAGTTAGGATAGTTTCTGAATGAAATAGCAGCAAACAGTGTCTTTGAAAACAGCTGCATCTTTTCACTTTAATGAGGAGAGTCATTTTAGAAGAAAAATTAAACCTACGTTTTAAAAAAATCCAGACTCAATTGAGATTTTTTCATAAGGTTCAAACATAACCACAAAAATAGAAATGTGTTGAAATCACAAGCGGATTGTTTTTTATGCAGAAGAAACTATCACGTCCAAATACGCCAGATGCCATAGTGGAGCTTCTTGAAATTTTTGCTGGCATTTAGTTTATCTCTAATTATTGTTACATTAACCTACTTTTTTTGTTAGACATTTTCATTAATGTTTGGTTTTGTACACTAAGGTTTCATATCTTTGCATTAAATATAAAAGAAAAAAGTAACGAATATGGAAGGTTGATTAGTGGTATCTTGTGCCCTTTGTTCTTAACAGTGTTTTAATTGCCTTAATTTTGGATTTGTGTGTGTGTGTGTGTGAGTGTGTGTGTGTAAAGAAAAGATGTCACTTCTCTTTTTGTTAGCTTTGTAAACCAAAGGGTGCTCACACAAAAACAACTAAGTAATCAGGATCAACAAGAGTTTCCATCAGATCCCCTAAACCATCAGAACATGAAGTTGACAATACAGGGGACAACTAGGACACAGTTCACTAACTCAGTGGAGCCTGATGGGCATTTGTTGCACATAAGTATGCTTTCCTGAGATTCTGGGGCCGTGAGTGCTGTTTTAAGTTTTAGGGAGGGGGACATGAAATACAGCAATGATGGTCTGCATTCAGAAGTCAGTCCAAGAAGGAGCTCTTTCTAGCTTGCCTATTCTTACGGTTTTAGGTAACCTTGAGAACCATATACTTTTTTTTTGAATAAGAAGATAAATCAGTGGCCCAAATTTTTCAGAGTGATGCTGTAGAAAACAGGTTCCCTTCTTAAGGGATTTAAGCCAACATTTGAAATAACAGTCAACACCTCTGCTGCTCTCATCTGACCCATAAAATGATTACACTTCTTGACTTTGTATTTCCTTTAGTGACTGATATTCACGACCCTGGGACAATCACAGTGAAATAGTTCAATTCCATGTTCTTAAATCAACTGCAATAACTAAACTTCAACATTCACATTTTCAAATCTCTCTCTCTTTTTTTTTTTTTACATAACTTTCTGTAATGTAATCTACACTTTCCTAAAAAATTAAGGGCAGATTATTTTTAGCAAGAAATATTTTTCTTTGGGGCCGGGCATGGTGGCTCACACCTGTAATCTCAGCACTTTGGGAGGTCGAGGCAGGCAGATCACTTGAGGTCAGGAGTTTGAGACTGGCCTGGCCAACATGGTAAAACCCTGTTTCTACTAAAAATACAAAAAGCCAGGCTGATGGTGCCTGTAATCCCAGCTACTCAGGAGGCTGAGGCAGGAGAATCGCTTGAACATGGAAGGAGGAGGTTGGGGTGAGCTAAGATGGTGCCACTGCACTCCAGCCTAGGTAACAGAGTGAGACTCCATCTCCAAAAAAAAGGAAAAGAAAAATATTTTTCTTTGGAACCCAATAAGGTTCTTAATAAGAGCCGGTTTTAATTTGAGGCAAAGTAACAAAGTAAAATTGGCTCAATCTCTATCCACTAATTGGCCATTTTCGATCAATGCATTGGACTTTTAACTTTCCACTATTTAAAGGGGAAAGGATTTGCTAAATAAACCAATAATCTAAACAGGATTACAAAGAGCCTGTTTAGCCTGCCTAAGAAAACAACTTCTAGAGTTTAAAAAACTGTTGTGTTACTGTCTTTGCAACATAACATGATCATTACAAATCTTATTAATTTTTAAAAGGGTCCTGTGGGATAATCTCTAGGCAAAACTTTACCAGATGTTTTAAATACTAGGTGAGAATGGGAAAATAGCATGTGTTTTCAGATGGTCCTCAATGTGGTCTTTCTGAGATTCTCCCCACTCCCACCAGCTGCATTATTCTATCTTGGGAAACTCTCTCACCCACAGAGTGACTTCTATTTCTCTCTTTTGTGGCAGCAATCAAGAGCTTAATTCACTGGAGCTTTAGACCACGGGGTGTGTGAAGCCGCAAGCATTCCTCTCCCTCCAGTAAAATTTCTGTTTGTAAAGAGATCTGAGGAAAGGCTTTGTGAAACAAGCAAATCTCTGACAATATCCTCACTCAGATTGAAGTTCACCGGTGTTTGTTCTTTTCTAGAGCTTGATCTCTTTACTTTTAGTTTCCTGAAGAGTGCATGTGTTATTCGTCATATATGTGGGATGGGAGTAGATATATACCGAATAATCTTGAATTGCTGAATAATTCTGTCACAGATCCCAATTTGAATTTCTTTGCCATGCCCTGCCCTGAAAAGGACCCTGGGCTCTGGTAGATAAAGGGGAATTCCCTTCAGTGAATGGCTTCCCTGCCAATCATGACAAATTACACAGCTCTCTAGTAAATATCTGCACGATGCCAACCGAGAGGAAGCAGAGGTCAGAAAAGCCAATTTTGAGACAAAACTTCAATCCGTCCTCTAAGTCACTGTGATTCAGAAAACATTTAAGCGCATCTCCTATCCTGGAAACAAAAACTGATTTTTCTCATCTGTGGGTTGATCATTACAAACCACATGGAAGTGGAAGTATTTACCTTCAGCCCCACAGAGCTGGAGGGACAGTTTTCTATTCTCTGTGTTTTGATGTCATATTTGGGTCTTGGGTGAATTGGGTTGATGAGTCTTTTTTTAGAGCAGTTTGGGCCATCCTGAAGGAAACTACAGGTAACCTCACCTGCTTGCACTCCAAACTCCTTTAGAGAAGGGAGCAGAAAAACTATCTAGGCCTTTGTTCTGACACCAGGTTTCACCATCAGCATCTATTGCCCCGTATGATAATTGTCCGATGATTGATCCGTCTCCCTCACTAGACTAACTCCTAGAGAGCAGGCATTCTCGTCAGCACCTTGTTGCACTGAAGTGACAAAATTCAACTGAAAGTCCATTGCATTCAGGGCACTTTGTGCCTCCCTTTGCAGGGCCTCTGATGACCAAGAGCCTCTGCCTTCAAGAAAGCTACTGTCCTGAAAAAGCTAAATCAAAGACCTCCAAAAAGAAAGGATTTGCAAAGCACATATTGCACAAGTAAGACTTTTTAAAAATAAGAGGCAAATATGTTGAAACTAGGATTCATGGCCGGGTGCTGTGGCTCATGCCTATAATCAGCGTTTTGGGAGGCTGAGGCAGAAGGATTGCTTGAAGCTTGGAGTTTGAGACCAACCTGGGCAGCAAAATGAGACCCTCATAAACAACAATAAAATTTAAAAGACAAAAATGAAACTAGGATTCAGATAGTCCTGAGCATTTTACAGTCACTCCTGTTTGCAACTCCAAGGTCTTTAAAAAAATCGAGGGCTTTTTTTTTTTTTTTTTAATCCCTTTGTTTTTGACAACAAAGACCTGGGTTGAAGAGCAAGACCAACCACTTTCTAATACCTCAGCTCTCTCATCCATAAAATGCATGAGACCCACCTTACAGGGTTGCAAAGGTTAAATGAGATGCGACGCATTAAAGAGGCTGTGGTGTAACTATTACTATCCAATAGCTTTTATGCTCATCATCATGTCATTCGATTCTACTTATTAAAGCTCATCCTGCAAACATTCGAGCAGACCATCCTTTGTCAGCTGATTCCCTGTCATACAGATGCTACATATATATTTGCATATATTGCAAACATTGCATATATTATATATAGTATGTAAATGTATGTACATACATATTTTCAATGTATAGAATTGCTGCAAATACTTCAATATAATAAAAACTGTATTCTACTCTAGTCTGTCTCACTGTGACCTCTGCTGTGTTTTAAATAAGGTGTTTTTATTTATGTTCCAAAAGCTGTATCAGTGTATCCATTCACTACATTCTTGGGGTACCATAGAGGCATTTTCTACTCTGACTTTATAAGCTAAATAATGTTAAGGATATCCTTCATATTCTGGTTGTAGCAT